ACTGATGCCTATTTATCACCCCTACAGATTCTGATACAATTTACCTTGAGGGTGGACCCTCTGTGAGTAAGTAGTGTAAGCTCTGTGGGTGCTTCTAGTACACAGCAGGAATTAGACCCTTCCTGACTCCCGCACACTCCTCTGTGGGCCCTGATCCTTGGCAGCCCGCCTTTCCCCTTCAGAGAATGGTTTGTGGGTTCCTACCTGTGCCTTCCTCTGGAAAGTCCTCAGTTCAATGGACTCAGGACTCTGGGCAAGGCCAGAAAAGGCTCTGGGGAGATTGTGAAAAGAATCCACTTGGGTGCAGTCTACGTAGAGCTCTACAGAGCCAGCCCCTCGCTGCAAATTGCTCAGTCTCAGGAGGACCCTGTGCCTCCTGCTGTCAGCCAGCTGCAGGTTGTTGAAAACCACCAAATGAATCTTCCCATCATTCTTCAGGTAACGGAGGATGGCTGGAACCAAGCACAGATCAATGAATGATGGGAGAAGGAGAATGCGGGTGATTCTGTGCTGAACAGCCTCCAGTCACAAGGCTGGGTCAGGGGAAAGAATATAAGCAAGTCAGAACCATAAATATTCAACATCTTGTATGCCAGTTGTTGTTCTAGGCACAGGCAGCCCACTCTGTTGCTGAGGATATGTTGTGCTTATGGAGAGACTGACAATAAGTGGCAAATTTGAAAACAAACAATTATAATTGCAGATAGTGGTAAGTACAATGAATGAGCAGAACCCATCAAGAGGCAACCAAAATCCCAGTAACTCCTAAAGGCCTGAATTCATTAATTTATCAAACATTTACTGAGCCCTCCTATGGGGCTGGGTGCTGCCCTTAGTTGCTTTAAACAGTTAACTCCTATTCATCGCAACCCTATGAAACTAAAATAACTACAGATGAGGAAAGTGAAGCTCATATAAGTGGAGGAACTGCTCAAGGACATAGTAAGTGGCAGGACTGGAATTTGCAGCTGAGTGTGGTATTCCATGACATTCCAAAAGAACGCCAGGAGTAGGGAAGCCTTTGAAAACATATGCTGATTCATATGTCATGTTATACAGTCCCTCAGCAACCTAGCCTCAGATTTCACAATGCTGTTAAAAACCAAAGGTATTCAATGGTTGCAAAAGGAAGCACTATGGGGGAGATCCACTACCTTATTTTCTGTTTGCTTCTTCTATGCAGGTAGCTACCTATTCACATACCTGGCTAAGCTCACTAAATGAAAATTCATGCACATTTTCAAGTTCTGTTTTTCTGCCTTGCTTTTAACTCCACTATTGTCTTGAATATATTGGGCCCTGAGCAAAAATCTGTTTCTAGATGCTGAGCCTTTGGGAGTAAAGCCCACTGGGTGAGGTTTGCTATAAAAACCAAAGTGATGATAGGATAATACTAACTGCAAATCACCGATTAATGCATGCTTTAAATATCCTTAATTTTGATCATTTAAAGGGTGTCAGATGATCAGCTATGGAAGGACATTTTTCTGATAATATTCCTTTCTCTTAAAAAAAAAA